TGTGGAATATTATTGCATAACTCGGTTTTGCAGGATAATGTGTTTCCTCTGTTATGGCCTTAAATGTGTGCTTGTTTATTTATTGCACATTTTTAAAGCCTCGGACATGTCGAGGAATTTGGATTGTGAATGTTCGTAATAATTATTTGTTCGGAGGTTGACCGGATAGATTTAATTATTTGTGTAGAAAACATGTAAACCCATCCGTGGGTCTAGGATCGAAAAATATAATTGTTGTAAATTATATTTTGATCGTGTTGATGCAGATGAACCCGGACGGTCATGGCGACCGGTGATCAACCCGACCGATGGACCTCGACGACCCAATTGACCGCGAACCACTGCGAGATCACAATCGGCCGCACGAGTAAACACGGAACACGACGGCTTGGCCGCCAGGTGTCCCAAGTGCTCGACTCACGGCAGACGGAGGACGATGATCAGTCGTGTGGACCAGTCGGCGCGACTGGAAGAGCCCGAGCATGGCGGCGCAAGGCGCGGTGAATGGGTGTTGTGAGGTGAACAGAACCCGGCGATCACCGCACAAGGCGCTGCTGGGAGACGCTCGTGAGCTTGCCGACGACTACTCGACGGCGACCCAGCTGGAATCAACATGAAGTCTGCTGGAGTGATAATTCAAGTCTCATGAGGAAAATTCGGTTCCAATGGGACATGGAGTGAATAGTTTTTTAATTCACCTAGAGCTGGAATTAATGGTCGTAATGGTGGGATTTATTTCCTTATTTTATTATTGCTATTAATTGATATGCATGGTTAGTTAATTGCTATGGGGCATATGATTAATTATTGGAATTGCGTAAGTAAAAATCCTCAATTAAAAATTATACTAAGTTTGAGAAGGGATTTTAAATTACAGTTAATTATAAAATTCCTAAGACCTCTATTTCTGATTTGTTGGTAAATCAATTAATTGAAGTATGGGCTCACCCTCGGGTGACATCACTAAGATTAATTGTATGAAATTACCAGAACAAATTTCTTATTATTTCTGATTTGTTGGTAAATCAATTAATTAAAGTATGGGCTTCCCCTCTGGTGACATCACTAAAATTAATTGTAAGAAATTACCAGAACAAATTATTAAATGGACAATTAGAGAGATTCTTATGAGAAAGTACGGGCTTCCCCTCGGATGATTCGAATTCGTATGAACTCAGGATAGAGAAATGGGATTCACTTAGAATGCGATTTATTTATAACTCCCCTCGGGGTCCCTGAATTTATTGCATGGCCAAATGGAGACCGACTATTAACTTCATTCGTCATGAATTTGGTTTTGACTTATGGAAACTAATGGGCCTTTGAAAGCTCTTTTCTTGTGAATGTTGAATACGTAGGGTTACCCTCATATCATGCGTTACTCTCGGTGTTTTGAGATGTCGGTGAATTTAAGTTAATGTTGTTTTGAGGATATCAACGTTAACAGTTAAATTCAAAAGTATTTAATTAGTAAAATTTTTCGTTATTCTCTAGTTTATTCAAACATGTCTTTCAATATGTTGTCCTTTATTCTCAAAGATAATTTATTGTTCAAAATTTATTAGAAATAGAACTTGGATAGTGTCCTAAGTTGCTGGGAAGTACGAGCCGTAGGGCGAGTGTATACAATTATAGCAAAAAGGACGCAGGAAGTCGTCCGACCTATCCTTAAGACAATAAATGTAGTTCCCCATCCAATTATTAGAACTTCCTGGATTTTTTGTGATTATTTATTTGCTATATATTTGTTTCTTATATCGTATTGTTGCTCGTTTTTGTTGTAATTCTTTTATCTGCTTTTATATATATATATATATATATATATATATATAGTTATTGTAAACTGATTTATGTGATCATCTAATATTGTTATTTGTGTGATAGAATTATTTGAATTTATTTGATTAGAATTTTATTTATTTCGGTAATTTTTGGTTTAATCGCGTAAACCGAAATGTTATCCATTTTAATTTGTTTTCGAGTCGTTTCAATCCGAACCTCGAACACTATCATTTTGACCCAATTGATAGACAGTTTCGGTCCATCTCTATGTGTTCAAGTAGAGATTAAGTGAGCATTAAGCTTAGCAAATGCTTAATCAAGAGTTAAACAAGGTTAGCATTATTCTATTGCTAAGTAAGGCTTTCATTTGTTTAATCATTCATGTAGAGTTTGTCCCCTCCACTCTATGCATAGCCAAACTCCTCTTTCAATAACTCTTAGTGCCCTATTTTAAATTCATTCACATGCTAGAATCTTGCCATCACTACACCTTGGGAAGAGAAGGATTCCCCAGCATGTCACCCACATTTTCTAAGGTTTTGAACCCACTATTATGTGGTCTATTTAGCCTCTTTTCACCAGATCTTTTCATGTCATATACTCAGCATTTTACCCTCAAAGACTTAGCAAAAATTCGTCCTAAACACCTCCCACAAGAGCAACATCCGAGAGCTTCTTCACATTGCTACCGAGAGCATCTTTGAACACCTTGCTGTTTCAAGTTCTAGCCATTCAACCGAGAGAGAAGATTCATTTTAGCTCTTATTCCTCTTCTTACATCCACCAAAAAAGGCTTTAGAAGCATCCTAGCCGAGGAATCAAGAAGAATCTGTGTTGTAGCCTCAAGCGAAACCGCGGGTCGTGCATAGCTTAGAACCGAACTATCTTGCCTTTTTCTTGATGTTTTATAGAGATTGGTGTGCTATCTTTTTTTAGCATATTTAGTAGCTGAAGTAAGGTGTTTAGTTATATTTTTGAAGCCTTGAAGTTCCAGCTTTGAAGAGTTTTTGAACATGCACTAAGTTAACCTCGCACCCGCTCGCATGCATGCTTTTATGTCGATGTTTCTATTCATTTTTCTTACCAAGCTATGAACAACCTGTTAAGTTGAGATTTTATTGGTTATTTCTTGTATATGTGCTGAGCTTACATATGAAATTTTATGTAATTTGGTGGAGTGTAGCATGAGATATAAGCTTATAAAGTTGAGCATGCAAAGTAAGTTTCGAACGTCTTGTTCTAGCTGCAACTTTAAACTCGAATATCTCAGCCTACAAGCATGAAATTAATGTGAAATTTTTATGATAACTTCATATATGTGTTGAGAGTATGCATATTAAATTTTAGCCAAAAATGATATCAATTACGTAAGTTATGGTTTTTACAAAAAGATTGTGCGAACAGTTTTCTGTGAACCCAGCAGCATGTTCTTACTAAATGTTTGGCTTGTTTGGTGTGTCTTAATGTTGTCAAATAAGATTGTGATCTTCATAAAAGTTATAAGCCTATCTCTTAGCTTTTATTAGGAGTTGAAATCATGCAATTTGGAATTTTGTTTGATTTTTTATGATTTTTCCAAGATGGGGTTATGCCCAGAATTTTTAAAACATTAGTTGTGATTATGCTCAGAATGTATGCTCTGAAATGAGGCCCTTAACGTGATTGTTTGTAAAAATTCTCTTCCTGAAACTTGTAGCATTCCAAGTGTAGTTTTTGTAGGTCTTGAGTTTGTATGATTTTGAGTTTTATAACATGAAATATTTCTGTTTTAGTGAAATGCTGTAAATAGATAATTAGTTACGTTGGCAGAATTTTTGACCTAAGTGTTTTATGCTTAAAATTGGTTTTAAAGTTATTTTTGGCTTAAGTGATCAACATGAAAGTTGTTGATATATGTGTTAGCTGCACATTGGTTTTAGAATCACCTGAATAGCATATATATAGCTCATGTTATCTTGGAAATACTGAGACCATGCGAGTGCTCATTTTCATTTATGAACTGCAACTATGTTTTGTGTCGTTGTTGAACTATGTAGTTGAGTGATATCGCATGAGTGTAGTTGTAAGTGTTTGTGTGTTGGACAGTCTATCATAGGACTATTTTGTGTAATGTAGGTGTTTGACGAGCTGTGTTCTCGGCTTACCCTTTTTCCCCGATTTTCTTTGATTTCTTTCCCCGGATACCAGGTGGGTTTACTTATTAAAAACTTGCTATGCCATATATGTGTTTCGTTTATGTTAAGTCGGTATGATCTATGTATGAGTGTGAAATATGTAGCCTATCGATGTGAGCTGTTACAGCCGTCGGTACGGTTGTTCCCATCGATGTAATACGTTTGCCCTTGTGAGGCAAGTCTCCTTAACTCCTGATATGGCCGTGCCCTTGTGAAGTACGTAAGCCTATATAGAAAGTCGTGTCCGTAGCGTGGCATGTACTCCCGTCTTCGGGTAATGAATCCCCGTTCTGCGGCTAGCGATAGATGTGCACAGGAGTAATGTTGTTTGTTGTGATTTTGATAAGAGATGAGACATGATGTGATTATCTTATATTCATGCTGCAATCATACCATCTTGACATGTTATTATATATGTGCATAGTAGTGAGCACTACGTTTTATTTTGTGCTCACTTCCATCTGCTCTTCACAGATGCAGGTTAAGCAGGTGCCGGGTGACGAGGAAAGACGAGTGGGTCGGTTATTGATTATGTTTATTTATGCTTCCGCTCATGAATAAATGTTTTAGTCTTTGAAACCTTGTTTTGGGTTAAGACATGATAAACGTATTGAAAACTCCTGTTTGAGTATATTGAATTTTTGGGATGTTTTGATAAACCTTATATGAATTGGTTATCATGTGTTTGGTTATTTCATGCTTTTGTGTTTGAGCTGAATAACTTATGTTGAAAATCAGGTTAATAAAAACCATGTGAAAAATCGGGTAATGAATCCCCGAGCAACCAGATATGACTTGGTTTGTAAGCCCCGGCCCAAAAATAATATATTTAGCTCGACTTTATTTATCAAAATTAGTAATATTTTAATTATGCCGAGAATTATTAGTTTGGAAACGAGATAAAATCCTAAATCTAAGTCTTGATTTATTATTTTTATCGAGTATTAGAAAAGTCGGGAATTTATTTAATTCTCGAACAAGCCCAATTATTTTTATTCGGCGCACTATAGTCGAGATAATTTAATTTGAGCTATCGTATTATTTTCTTGGCCCACGTAGTATTATAATTATTGAGCCCAAGACGTATTACTTTCGCTAGCCCGATTATACTAGTCCAAGCCCGATTACTGGAGACCCAATACACACTTCAAACCCTAATTCTCCCATATATAAATATATCAATTTTTCCAACCTTCTTATTGAACGGGCGCAGCAACAAGTGTAGAATCTCCCAGCTCAAATGCTTTTCCCAATCAGATAGCCATTATTATTATATAAAAAAAGGAGAAAAATCGGAAAGAAACGGGCAGCTCACGGTCATCTTCTCCAACCAACTTTCACGACAAGCTCGCACCATCACCGACGACGTCCTGTAGCTCAGCCCCGTCAAGCTCTCTCAGCTCCGACGAGCAGCTCGAGCCCGCAACTCACGGCCTTCAGCAACCGCCTCGCCCGAGAAAAATCGAGACCCGAGCCTCTCTTCTCTATTTCTTATTTAGCCGACATAAGGTATTCTTTTTCTGGCTGAACTCGATTTTACCTCAGTTATGGCCGAGCATAGAGTAATTATTAAGGTTAAAATGCAAAGAAAAGACTTACCATGTACGTTTTGAATTTATGAAGATTAATAAGATTGTAAGTAAATGAATGGTGAAGAATTGGAGTTTATGCCCTGTTCTGCTTGTATTTCAGCCTTAAGTAGTGCAAATTTCATGTTGAATCCATGTGTCAGTAAGGTTTAAGATTTATTAAGTTCTAATGAAAAGAGATGGATTACTGAAATATATGCCTTGGACATGCTTGTTGTAATTCAATCAATTGGTTTCATAAAGTGGCCGTTACTGATTGAAATTCATGTTGACATGCTTTTAAGATGTTGGTAAATGAGTTTATTAAAATTCAAGAGGGTAAGAAAAGTTTTGAGATTAGTTCTACCTTGTTTTCTCATGTGTTTTATCATGGAATATATTACCTTTTATTAACCAGGTGAGGAGAGTTTATTGACCCATTTATTAAATATTCTGATTCCATATTCAAAACTAAACTGGTGTTAGTAACATATTCCCATAGGTCATACATGGTATTTTCTTGAGCTTGAAATTCAGTAAATAGGAAGAGGATTAAAGCATGCTAAAATGTCTATGAAAATGTAAGAAGAAAATAGTTTAGCTTTTGCTGTGAATTATTAAGCCTTACTGATCCTTTTTATTGTTAACTGCATTATGAAAATAAATGCATGTACTCATGCTTAAGAGTTTAAAATTCATCTTACAGAATGTATAAGGTTTAAAAAGAAAAATAGCATGCATTTATAAAGTGTTAATAAAAAATGTCCGAGTGTGATGTTTCAGTTTTATTGATATTGTAACACCCCGACTTTCTAATACATCAGAGTACGCGGTTTTTCGCAAATTTTCTGAATAAATAAATAAGTAAACTAACTTTTTAATTTGCGAAACTGATTCGGGGGTTAC